CTTATTCTGCACAAATAATTAAATCTATTGATGTATAACCTCAAAATACCTAAAACCAAAGGTAAAAAATTTGTTTGAAACTGTATAAAATACCTTTTCTCGGCTTTTATGGCACATTGTTCCGATCTCTGGAACATATGCCTAATATTTTTCGATGTAGCATCATCGAAAAAGATTTGTTTGAAACCGCTCACTCACTGACTGTAGGCACCCTTTCTTAGTGAGATTTTTTCATATAGGGACGGTATGGTATAAATTAATATAAAATACTTTACATTCAATTCGATTTGTTGTAATTTTTTTATTGAAGTATTATTTTTTTTAAAAATAAAATTATAATTTAGTTATGATTATGCGTATATTTCAATTTTCTTTTTTTAGGATTTCCCTTTATATTACGTATTACAGATACTTTATATTATCCCTTTATATTACAGACAAATAAGGAATAAAATTAGTTCATGTTCACTGATAATTTATATTGAAAGACACTAATGCTAAATAAAAGGCAGCACAAATAATAATATTTATTTCAAAATATTTCTAATTACTCAATAAAAATATAATTTTTTTCATAATTGGTAATTGGTTGACTGTCGGGGATAATGAAGAGAAGAATATTTGGGGTGCTCAGTCAAAAAGGAAGGCAAAAAATAAATTATAATATTTATTTTTTACATATGCCGACGTTTCGACCTGAAGTTCAGGCCTTCATCAGGGCTTTCTCCTTAAGTGTCAAGGGGAGAATGGAACTTGTGACCACCATTCTCCCCTTGACACTTAAGGAGAAAGCCCTGATGAAGGCCTGAACTTCAGGTCGAAACGTCGGCATACGTAAAAAATAAATATTATAATTTATTTTTTGCCTTCCTTTTTGACTGAGCACCCCAACTATTCTTCTCTTCAATAATTTTTTTCTTGTTTGCTCAACATAAATGATGAGAAAGGTATACAAACTTACATAACAGACCGAATTTTAATTTACAAATGTGCAGCTAAGGTAGAGATAGTATCTAATGGAAGATATATATTTGCTTTATTGTTGGCCCAAAGGGGCCCGCGTTGGAATAAATTTGCCAAGCCGTTGGGCCTATCACCAGAGCTTGGACAAGTTCCAACTCGCCCTATCCAAGGCAGCTTTATTCATTCGGTACTACTGTACTCCTTGTTCATGTATGTATAACCTTTAGCTTTAATATATATAATTGCATTTGTTATTAGCTTGTTTTAACTTTCTTTCACTCATAAATTCTTTTGAGAAATTAATAGAATCTATTGATTTATTGTGAGAAACGTTTACAAATATGGAAACTATGATTAAAGTAGTTTGAGGAACAGATTATCAACAATGTATGTAATACGATTACATGAACCTCTTTTCCGGCAGTTGATGAATGTGTTATCAAACGAAAGGAAATTTAAAGAAGTGAGGAATCTCAATTCCGATCCTTAAATTCCAACAGCTTTAATAAAAGTCATTGAAAACAATTAGGAAGATTTACATGGCTATGGGATAATTATCAGGTGTTTATGTTTTAAAAATTAAAATATTTTTATTGTTTTTATTAAATTTGTTGGAGTATTTAAAGGATTAAATATCTATCGAAAAGTTTGATAGCACTCTGACCATTTAGATAACATAGAGAGGAACTGTTTGATGTATTTAATAAATAAGAAATACTTTTTATAAAAATATATAATAGCACAATAGCTATGTACAAAAATGATGAATGATAAACATTTCTCTTGCTAACAATATCCAGGTCCGATTATTATTGTTTGAGATATTTTAATCCATGTGCAAACAACACTTCAATCAATCGACTCCATCCGACTTTACCCGAGCGTTACACTTCGGAAATCTGTCTGCTCAACCTAATTCATTCTCCATAGAAAAGTTCAAAACGCGTCAACAGAATTTTTCACTTAAAAAAAATCTATAAAAAAAATTATTTTAATTTTTTTTTTGGAAACATATATATATGGTATACATGTATATGTATTTGTGCATATGTATGGTTACAGATATATGAAACTAATACAATTTATAGAATTTCCTCTTGAAGCGAAAAAAGTTTTTAAATACAATGGAATAGCAATTGTTTGTGATCGATAATATCATTTCGAGGTAAATTTGTTTGCTTAACATTTTCGATCGCTTCAAATACAAATTAAAATCAAATGTTTTTTTTATTAAATGGTTGTCAAATTAATAAATTATCGAAACTAATAAAATATAAAATTTAATAAACAATCATTTAGTAATTTCGAAACATGATATTCAGTTTAGATATCCAGTTATTTCATTAGACGTGTATATTACGTAACTAAGTAGCACAAATGTTGCCTAAAAAAATTGATGTCAGCTTTTAGAGGCGTGGATAGAGGGGACGGATATAGAAAACACCTTTTGTTTATTTATTCATTTTTTTATTTATTTATTTTATTTTTTTTTATTTATTTATTTTTGGGGCTTTTTCTAGGGTTTAGAATATCACCAACTAAATTATTCCAGAAAACATGAGAAAAAATATATAACATACGGGAAGAATGCCCTAATTATCCAATAACAAAAATAAAACTGTACAATTAATCGAAATTTTCTTTATTTAATATTATTTTAAATAAGTAATAATATTTAAATGGATACATTATGTACATATTAATAAGGGCTGTGTTTTACATAACTTCTTAAATCAGTAACTTTGTGATAAGAGGCAGATCTGTAAAAAGGGATATAAAGATGAAAAGGTCGAGATGATTTTAGGGTGCTGGAGAGGGGTCTTATACTGGAAGATATTGTAGATATAGGAAAGGCAATAGCTGTTGATATCTTGGTAAAGAAATGTGGCTAGAAAATATTTTCTACAGTAGGAAACAGGCACTTTAACGTAGGGAAGTTTTTGGAAACATGGGAATGTCCTATAGTCCCAATTGGCGAATACTAAAAAGCTATATTATTACTAATGATTAATTTAAAAATAAATCGTTAATCACAAATAGATTAAAAATTGGCTCATTTTCGTTCCTGAGGGAAAAATGAAATTTTGAAAGAATTGACAAATTGAATTAAATTAAATTATAAAATGCATATCAACGCGCCCGCCTTTATAATGTACCCATTTCTAACACAAATTATGTATAGTTACAAAATATAGTTTAAACATTTTAAATTCTATAATTCTAAAAATTATCCGTATTTAAAAATTGAATACAAAAAAAAAAAAAAAAAAAAAACTCACTGCAAAAAATGCTCAAACCTTCCAATAAATATTAAAGAATCATTTACTTGACCTTACTAAGGTTACTTGGAACTCATTAATTTGAGATTTGGTGCTCCCTTAAACCATCTAAATCCTCTCGTATCCAATCCGAAATCCTTCTTAACACCCTCAATGCTCATCATTTGTTACAAATAAAATAATATCTACTGTCCCATATGTTACCGATTTAGCCTATTTCAGATTGAACCTATCCTTCCATCATTAACTAAAGGCCCATCCAAATCCACTAGTGTCTAATGTTGTACCCTCTTTGACTCCTGGTAAGTCATAAAAGAAGCCATCTTCGTTTCAAACGACTAAAATCAGTCGTATTAAACTGTTTCTTGAGAATCGTCAATGGGATCCGAGGTGGCTCTTTCCCTTTTTCAGTAGAAAGTATTTTCTAGGCACATTTCACTATCAAATAACCAAGAACCATCGCCTTTCATATGGCTACTGCCTTCTCCAATTTAACGCCTATCTCCACCCCTTAACAAAGAACTCAATCGTCTAACTTTTATACTTCTTCACATACCTTCCTTTATCCACATAAATGTTCCATATTACTGAATAATTAAAAAAAAAACCTGTCCAGAACATTGATGTTGTCCATGACAAAAAAAACTTGTCTATGAAAGTTTTTGGATTTTGTAAGGACTTTGTAAGGAAGTATTGTTTTAAAAACGGTTGTTTAGAGAGATTGTAGTTAAGTTTTTAACCTTAGTTAATTAATCTATTAATTAACTGTAACTTCTTATTAGAGACCGGATGTGCCACAGGAGACTCTCCCAAAGCTTAGGTCGATCCAAGACTGATGTAACAAAATATATAATTACTTGTCATCAGCCGAATAAGAAACTTAGGTCTCTTAGCATAAGACGTCAGTAACATACCCATTGAGCTACCCCACTCCCTAACTAACAAATAAATACAAATTAACGCTAACATTTGATATTATTACACTTTCAGGCTTTAACAAACTATATTTGTAAATATCATATAAAATGTCAATTCCAGCCGATAATTCAACGTTGTTAACCCATTGGAGCATCTCTACTTCCGTTTGCAAACTTTATATTAGTAATGAACTCAAATCCTGAGAGCCAATAAAGGATTCATCCCAATTAAAACTGGCCCAAATACTGTCCAATTAAGGATAAACTTGCTTCTACAATCGCAAAGACATCCTCGTTAACGGAAGTTATTCATCCCTCTTGTCTCTATTGATTATTTATTTCAAATACATTCAGATCGGGAATAACATTTGTAATCTGCATTCAACGGTTTGTTGATTTATAGCCATGAACTGTTATAAGTTTTTTTGCAATATGCACATGTTTTTAAGCTATCAATAATTTAATTAGCAGTAATAATAATATAGTTAATTATATACACAAATATAGAGGCGAATATAACGGTGCTTGAACCTTCATAGGCGGTTGAAAAATATAAATGATAATAAGTACCTTTATTGTATTGTACATAATTTAAAGGGAGCAATAGAAAGTCATACACTGAGCAATAAAGCAATAAAAGCTTTCATATACCGAGCTTTATAAATAAACTAAATAAATAAATTTATATAATTTGTGTATGAAAGGAAAATTCTAAGGCTTATTTTTGTCAAGGAAGTGTAGCATTATAACTAACCAGGAACTGAAAAATTTAATAAGGCATGAAAATATATTACACTTCATAAAATCTCGAAGAATTGGCTGGGTCTTGGTGGCACAGAGAATGGAAGATGATAGGATGACAAAGGAAAGGATAGGAGAAAACGAGAACGGGAAAAGAAAACGTACTAGGAGACCATGGTTGGATGATCTAGAGGATGTTTGGCAAGAATTGGAGCACTGGATGGAAACAGCTGGCATTGAATGCGGGTGCATCGGATCGAATTTCACGGGAGGCCGAAGTCCGCTGGTGTGCCGAAGAAGAAAGAAGTATGAATATGAAATTGTCGATCATGAACAAAGTACATAATTGTGCAGATTGTATATAATATAATTAATTAGATTATGTATTTAATTAATTTATGATTTAATTATATATTTAATGGCCGATCGCTTAATTTTGTCTTCATTGATAACCATGGTCGTATCCATAGAGGAGAAAAATGAGTATCATCCTTCATCTTCATTCCTTTATCAATCAAGAACATAATAAATAAAAACATAAATTGCAATAAAAACGAATGAGGAAAAACTGACTGGTTGATAGTTAGGACATTCTAATTACAAAGTAGATATCAATTCCACCAAAAATCAATTAACTGCTCAATTAAATAACTGGGTTCTCCTCTATTCCGGCTATATTTCTGAGGCTAAATATTTGGAAGCCACTCCATCATCATTTTCCTTGTAATGATAAAACCAGTGTTGGAGTACAGCCTTGTTAACATGCACTTTGCAAACTTTTCCCACCGATAAGCTCCACCTTAATTTTATAAACATTAATTAAAATTGTTTAGATAAAGCAAAGAATCTTTTAATCGAACAGAGTTACACGCAACTTACAGACTTCGAAGCTTTCCGTGCCAATTTACGAGATTTAATGTAGTGTATACACGACACATTTATTCCAACTTCCATATTCATAACTAAGAGACCCGGCTTCAGATTTGTGGTTTGACTAAGTCCTAAGCTAACTTTAGATTATCTAAAACGGCATTTATTTAAGACATTATCACTTCGAACAAATATTAAATAGGATCTTGAATTTACACATGCTGATGAGTCGCATAATGTTAATTTTACACTTAAAATGAATATAATTTAAAAGCTTATGTAGGTTGTCAAATGGCAATTGTTTATTTGCTTTGACAAAATTTAACACTTTAAGGTTTTTATTTAAACTTTTACGTTAAAAATGTACTTCGTTTATTTTTATTTTATTTTTATGTTTTTGTCGACACTAATATTATGCTTTATTGTAATCCTTAACCTTCCAACTTTACCTTCTAGAACCCACATAAATTCTAAATCCTTTTAAATGTAGTACAACACAAATTTAATGACATAATGATGATATAAGTAATGTATACGTAAATGAGGAATTAAATCTTAAATTAAACTAAAGTGCTATGTATTTTAGGACCACATGTGTTATATATTTAATTATTTTAAATGATAAAATATAGTCTTAATAATAATTTCTAACACTTCTGAGGGAAAGTGGCGACCCACTAGCGTCTGAGTGGCATTAAAACACTTAAGGACAGCGGTCGGCAAAAACACCAAAGAACCGACAACGGTTTTAAGTGGGCATGTTTGGAGAGGATCGGAAGGCTTGTCTAAGCAAGGGAGGGAACCAAAACACCTTCGAGAAAGAGGAAACAGCCGTACCTGCTGGAAACGGCCTGGGGCGTAGTCATCCCTTATGCTACAAAAATTCAACCAATGGGGACCATTCAGGCCCCACCCTGAATATAGCTATAAAATCTACTGAGATGCATAGAGGAGAGGTCTCTCATAAAACACTGTAGGGAGAAGAACATTATACCACCAGAGCAGACAGGTTTCCAACGAGGTGTCGCCTACGAACACCACCTGGCGAAACTTCAGGCACACACCATAGAGCAGATGAATCACAACAGAGCTACGGCACTTATCTCACTGGACTGCAGCCAGGCCTGTGACTGCGTGTCGCACGCGCTGTTACTCCGACGGCTGGAAGAGTCCGAAGATCTCTCGTCGTACGAGTTGGTGACGACTACTCTAACCCAGTCGATACCACCTGTGGAGTACCTCAAGGGTCTGTGTTGGGACCAATACTGTTCGTCGTTTTTACGGCGCCAGTAGTGGCACTCAAGCACCCAAACGCAGTGGTAGCAGCCTATGCTGACGATATCGAGCACTAATGCAAAGAGAGCCCTCAAGCATGCAGAAAAAGCCACAGATGTCATCGTCGGAGAGCTAGAGAAAAATGGCATCAGAGTGAACCCCATGAAGACCGACGCTATCGTGATGTTCCAGCAAGGGAAAAAGCCACTACCCACTCACTTCACCATCGGTAGCGTGGACCAGCGGATCTCCACTTTAGTAGTCTATCTCGGCGTGACATTGGCACCTAACATTCTCCAGTCATGTCAGACAAAGACTCAAGCTGGCAAAACAAAAGTCACATAGGCTCTACCACCTGTTGAAGTCGCCGTAGCTCTCGCTGAGACTAAAACTTTAGATATTCAAGGCGGTCATCAGACCTACGCTGCTCTATGGTGCACCGCTTCTCCGACACCTTTACCAGAGACTGCAGGGATTCCAAAACTCCGTCCTTCGGCGAATAGTCAGAGGTACCCATCTTCAGTGATCCAGGAACAGAGACATCTACCAGGAGCTCCAACTACCCTCAGTCCCGGAATTCATTGGCCGGAGGCACATCAAATTTTTTGATGGGCTTAAGGCCTGTGCAAATCCATTATTCCAAGAAATCGCCCCACCGCCCAGGTCTGGAAGGTGGCAAGGCAGAGTCCCCCTAGGTAGATGTCCTTGACGAAGGAGGGGGTCTGGACGCGGCAGTCTGAACCCTCACATTTGTACATAGTGTAAATATATAATTGTAAGTATGTAAATATATTCTCATCCCTATCCTTTATGAATAAAGCAGGGCGGTCCCTCCACGCCCGGTGATGAAATTAAGGCCTAAGGCCACAGAAAGTATCCTATGCTTACGGCATAAACTGTAATTTACCTTAAAATACCGTTGGGTAAGCAAAGGTCAAGGAATAATGTATATATACATTCATAGATGTATGTTGTAAGTAGTGTTAAATAAAGTTTCTGGGGGTTCAGAAAAAAAAAAAAAAGGGAGGAGAGGTCTTATGTTGCTGCCCGGCCTAGAGGAGAGATCTCATGTGGAGATCCGGCCTTGAGGATGGGCCTCATGTTTTCTCCTGACTTGGGGACTGAAGCCTTGGCTCTATATTGACGATGATGATCCTGTGAGCTTGACCAGATGACCTCATATCAGCAGATGCAGTGAGGGAATCTGCCAAATATGCCACGTCATATGCAATAGATGAGTTTTATTCGCAACCCTAACGTTAGAATATTTCATGGGAATATAAATTTCAAAACAGTCCATCTGAAATCATGCCTTCACAGTTCATTATTGAATTCATTGATTCTTGTAACTATAATTTGTAATTCTTGTAAATATAATTTGTATATAATCTATATTAAAAGTTGAAATAAATTAGGTTTGTTACTAAAACTTATTTTAATCATGCCACCTATTTATATCAGAATGTTCACAAGCAATGTGTGTAATTAGAAAGCACGATAAGCACAAACCAGCCTATGTGAAAAAGAAATCCAATTAATTAATCATGGACCAAATATATTGTAGACCCAAATTTATTTTAGTAAATTTTCATTATTAATTTTTATTAAATAATTCTGGATAATTATCCTCAATAATTATCCAGTGTCATCCCGAATAAATTTGAATCCCCCAAAACTTAACATATCAAAAGAATAACTGGTGAATATTGTAAATTCAACTGACATAACATTTTAATGTTAATTCTCTGTAGAAGGATACATTCCTAATAATTCTGCTATTGTACACCATGAGCATAACTAATAAAGTAGATTATGAGGTTATCCCTAACGGCCATAAAATAATAGTTGATAACAGACTATAAAGATAAAATTAAATAGAGAAAAGTGAGTATGAGGTAAAAGGGAGAGGAAATTTACGATATGGGTAGCTGAGGTGAGATGTAGGGAGAGGCGGTAGATAGGAGCTCCAGCGTAGCGCCACATAAATTCAGGCGAGGACATTAAGCACACGCTAGCTCCACCGCCTCACCATAAACAACTAACTTGTCTCCTCTCGGTCATATCTTAAAAAATATATCAATTCCTTTTACTCAGTATTGTCTGCCTGTAATTCGGTGCAATATCTGTGTATTACTAGGGAAGGTAACAGTGAGTTGCCGGTTTCAACTAAATTTTATTTGGTAGATCTTCAATTAAAATTATTAGAGAAACATCCTACCGTTCTTTCCGATTTGCCTTCCTAAGAGACAAGAATAAAATAAAAGTGATTTTATTTTATTTTTTTAAATACCAACCAATAACATTTTCTTATACAAAATTGCGTATAGTATTAAATGAGTAATTTATAATTAATTATGTGCCGGGGTAGCCGAGCGGGCTATGAAGCTTGTAATAGGTAATCACAGTAAAGCAACATCGGGCGTTGTACGTACTGGGACGGGTGACCGCCCGAATTGCATGAAATCCCGCTAGGGCTACTACTACTATAAGCTACGTTGCCTGAAATTCATCTCTCCGCAGAGGATATAATAATAATAATGCTTTATTTATTCTGGGACGAGTCTCTTTAGAATAATACAGAAAGACAAAAATGTGGACTACATAAATGGATACATAAACAAAAATATAGAGTAATTAAGTAGTCAAAATAAAAACATATATAAAATAAATTATAAGTTACTTTCTTATTTAAATCAGTTAATAATAAAAAAAACATGAAGTAAAAATAATTAATAACGATCTAATAATTTATATAAATATTTACAGTAGTAACTATTTACAATTCTATGTGGACTGGATGGATAAGAAATGATTGAACAGGCGGGTTTTAAAGGTAGGAACGGTTTTGGATTGACGGATGTCGGGAGGGGTGGAGTTCCATAGGGATGAGGATCAGATAGTGAACGATCTGTCGAAAGCAGCGGTTCGGTGGGCCCTTATGTATAAATTAGAAAACCTGGAACGTGTATTGCGGGAACGAACAGAGGATTTGAATCGAAGGAGCTCGGAGATATTTAAAGGACTGTGGGATTGAATGACTTGAAAGAGAATGGATGAAGCCACTTCAAATCTGCATAAAAACGGGAAACAGAGTCGTCCCTTGGGATCCCGAAGATGAATCTTACAAACCAATTTATCAAACGTTCTAATTTTGCCTCGAGATCCCCAGAGACACCCCTTAGATATAAGGTCTATTATCCCACCAATGTAAGGTATACTATAGGCAACTCATACCAACCGGGCGTAAGAGTGATGACCCTGCCCCGTGAACTTTAATCAGGAATTGGGGTATGTTTTTTTCAGAATGTCAGTAGCTTCCAGACAATCTGTATAAATCTTTATAGTTATAAAAAATATAGCTCATTGTATTCCTGCTTGCTCTTATTCATAATCCATTGAAATACAACGATTTACCACTGTACTTGAATCCGAATGCGACGGTGGGAAATACACTGCCAGATTTGCCCCAATGGGATCAGCTATGGAACTATGAGTAGCCTGCCGTTACACTTTGGAGACCATATACAATATTTGTTTTTATATTCTGCGCAAATCAAATGGTAAAAATAATTTTTAAATGTAGTAAAATAATTTTTCCTTGGCTCCCATGACCCGATGGAACGAACGCCGCTATATTTGACAATTACTTTTCGATAATGGAGAATAAAAAATAAAAAAAATAATTTCAAACTTGGCAAAAATTTTCATTGCCATGATTTAGAATTCAATATTATTACTCCAATATACAGCCACATTTATATTGTTTGAATAGTATGTCATATGCCTAATTAATTTTTAATTTTCAAAACATTTAAGATATCCTAATTTGACACATTATTTTAAATTTAATTTTTTTTTTGTAGTGTTTTATTCAATAATTTATGAAAAATAAAATTTAAATATATCAACCGGGATACCCTAATTCGAAATAAATAAATTTTGCAATATAAATTTCAATCCAACCGAAAATCCAGACTTTAGTAACTAAAATTACAGCGATTTTTTTTTGTTTAAAAATTATTTTAGCTCAAATATGAGTTTGTGAATCAGTACTTTTTTAAGTTAAGTTTTTATAATTTGTATGTAGATTTATATATTAATTACATTATAAGAAGTGTTTATTATTGTTTTACAGAAGTTACATTTGTCAATATTTGTTAAAATTAAATAACAATATATTCTTGTTGCTGTAGAGGAACGTTGCGGTGCAGGAAAAGAAGTACAATCACTTTAAAACAAATGTAGACCACGTTGTTTATTTTTCATCCTCTTGGGTGACAATAGCCATCAGTTGGAAGCCCCGAAGCGGAAAGTGTGACGGAAGACCGACGTGACTTTATCACAGTTCCGACCGGAGATCTGGCAAAGCGCAGAAGGCAGAGAGAAAAAGCGCATCAGCTGATTAAAACCGTTTACCTAACTCCCGCCGGCGGGAAATTTATCGCTGTTTGCTCATTGGCTGGCCTAGAAAGAGAAACATTTTAGTTTTATTCCCTTTTTGGTCCACTTATCTCCGCCATTTTCCCCCTTTTCCAGGTAATCTTATCCAGCTTACGGCTTTTACTTGCCGCTTTATTTTATTCAACGCCCATTAAAAATAATTCTTTACGTTAATAATGGTAATTACTTTATTTATGAGTCATAATTTTGCCTTACTAAAAAGCCCTTTTACCTCATTTTTTTTCTTCTTTCATGTTTGAAGTAATTTACCTAAAGCTTTGTGCGATTTGGTGTTTGTATTAATTTCAGGATTTTACGAAGAAAATTGAATTAAGTTCTTAATGAATATATAGCTAAATAAATTTATGAACAGATGTGAATATTAAATTTATATAAAGAAAATATATATGCTGAAAATATTAAACAGTTCTTTCCTTTCTCACTGATTAATATTTATATGTAAATTAATTAAATAAAAATTAATGGTCAAGTAAATATTGTGTTAGTTAATTGAAACTTATAACAGTTTTGAAATTAAGTGTGAAACTTGTCGAGAAACTACCCAATGGTTTGAATTCAACTTCCTAAATAGATCTAATTTGGAAGATCTCGAGGCCATCATCTTTTTAGACGCTTAGGTGAAAACTATTGATTTAAAAATTGTTATTTGGGGGATTGATGTACATAAATTTATGTCAGTTATAGATTAAATAAAACAAAAAGTTCCTATATATAAAATTAACAAATTGATATCGTTTTCATTGATACGTCATTTAAGAGGGAATTTATTAGACTACTTTATTAAAACTTCAAAAACGTTGTTTGTTTCTAAATGGTTTTAAAAATAGGTTATGTTTTTTTTTCTCTCTTTTCTTACTGAACTTGCCAAAAAAAAATTGTTTGTTTTGAAAAAGTGGCAAGTACTCTTAACAATACAAAAATAATATTTTGAGATTTAAAATAATTTTTATTTTTAACACCCCTTTAGTAAGATTTATCTAAGATCTATTTGATGCCCAAATAATGGTATTTTACACATTTGCATTGGCTGAAGTACTTTTTATTTTTTGTATGTTCGTGACCTTTACGAATGAGCAAATGATATCTGATTACAGCGTAAATGCTGAAAATGAAATTTGTAAACAAATTTATTTAATTTTAATTTTTATCTCCATTTAATCTGGAGATCCGCTCAAATGGTGAAGCTACTGTACACCCAGCCAATAACCAACATTAGGCAAATAAAAAAAATCACATTTTTCTAGTAGATCCTTGGATTATTATATTTATAATCTAATGTAAGAGAATAAATAATCCACTGAAATATAAAAAAAGAAATAACAATAAGTAGAGAAATTTAAAAATCTTTATTTTTAATATATTGATAAAATAAATATTTTGAAATAAAGATACGGTATGCAGATTATATTTCAAGAACATTCCGAGCCTCAGAGACTTGCGATATATCTCTTGAAATGGATCCTTCATAGTGTATTAATATTTATCAGCTTTCATGAATGTTGTTAGCATACTCTTGTCAAACCAAATGATGGGTGCTGATATTGCTTTGTGGGAGCTGGCAACTTCTTTCTATCTTTTTTTCTGAATATGATGTGTCTTACATTGATCCACCACGCTTACGTATGCATTGGCATGAAAAATTCATGAAATATAAAATAAATACTTAGATCTATGGTTCTAACTGAAAATGAGTTAATTTACAGACAATTAAATTGTTGGATTCTTGTAAAATTAATTTAATTTTCTGTTTACCAAATAGAAATATTTCATCAATCAGAATAATTTGCCTCCAGCCTGGGTATACTGTTGTACATCTCACCAAAATGTAATCAAACAATAATAAATGTAAAATTTTATTTACTATGATTAAAATTTGTAGATATTTTATTCTCTTTACATAACTGTATATATCTACATTGTGTTTTCTCGCCTAATGTTCTCTTCCTTACATGGATTAAATTCAAAATAAAATCACGAAGATTTTAAAAAAAATTTTGTAATTATCTATAACATTGCAGTTAGTAAGATAAAAAAAGGGTTACTTCAAGGATAGATTTTGGACCGGAATATATTAGGTATTAGCTTTTTGGTTTGTTAAGACAAATTAATTTAATTAAATTTCTTTTCGATAGGGAAAGAGAGAGAGAGAGAGAGAGAGAGAGAGAGAGAGAGAGAGAGAGAGAGAGAGAGAGAGAGAGAGAGAGAGAGAGAGAGAGAGAGAGAGAGAGAGAGAGAGGAGAGAGAGAGAGAGAGAGAGAGAGAGAGAGAGAGAGAGAGAGAGAGAGAGAGAGAGAGAGAGAGAGAGAGAGAGAGAGAGAGAGAGAGAGAGAGAGAGAGAGAGAGAGAGAGAGAGAGAGAGAGAGAGAGAGAGAGAGAGAGAGAGAGAGAGAGAGAGAGAGAGAGAGAGAGAGAGAGAGAGAGAGAGAGAGAGAGGAGAGAGAGAGAGAGAGAGAGAGAGAGAGAGAGAGAGAGAGAGAGAGAGAGAGAGAGAGAGAGAGAGAGAGAGAGAGAGAGAGAGAGAGAGGAGAGAGAGAGAGAGAGAGAGAGAGAGAGAGAGAGAGAGAGAGTGAGAGAGAGAGAGAGAGAGAGAGAGAGAGAGAGAGAGAGGAGAGAGAGAGAGAGAGAGAGAGAGAGGAGAGAGAGAGAGAGAGGAGAGAGAGAGAGAGAGAGAGAGAGAGAGAGAGAGAGAGAGAGAGAGAGAGAGAGAGAGAGAGAGAGAGAGAGAGAGAGAGAGAGAGAGAGAGAGAGAGGAGAGAGAGAGAGAGAGAGAGAGAGAGAGAGAGAGAGAGAGAGAAAAGTACTTGTGACAGGCATAAATAGTGAAACTATAATATGATTTGATGAAGAAGGTTTCCTACTCAGAAGCTCAGTCACAAACCAACAATAACTTAAATTGCTCATATATTATTATTATAATTCCGAAAAAATTAGGATCATCGATCAAATTGCCAAAAATGTAATAATTTCAGCAACATAAATTTCACTTAGATATAATTAAGATTAGTTTAATTGAGCGAGAATTTCTGTTTAAATAGCCAAAAATTATTATATTGTACTATTATAAGTCATTGAAGGAAATGGTGGTTTTTCATGACGAGCCTTGAAACTTTACGACTCAAAATTTGGAGTTTCCAAAATAATGGTTCTCATGGCCGCACTACGCTCCTATTCAATACTCGAGTTCCATAGTACGTTGAGCTTTGTATTTATCATCTGATTTCTCAATCGAAATTACTCCCCTCCTCTCCCCCCCCCCTCCGTTTAAGGTTTATTTCACCAGTTTGAATATGATCTTTCTTTTTCTTGATTTCTCTTGCACCTCTTAATTCGAGGCATCCATCGGGAGGGTTCCTTCTTCCCGTATAGATGGGTATTATATACGCCACTGAACAAGGTTGATACAATAAAAAGAGTATGATTAAAAAGAATAAACAGATCAATAGTAGTTCAGAGGTAGACCATTAAGCTACTATTTATCTGTTAATCCTTTTCAAACATCATTTTATAGTTCAATGGTGTCTGAGATACGGTAGCCGAATGGGTTAATGCGTTTGCCAAACACACCTTGTCCGGTACCATGATTTGTTGAAGATTACGAATTTGAGTTCCTTTGCCTCGAGTTAAGGGGGCTTTTTATTCTGGAACTCCCCTGACTCGCCTCTGTTTCGAGAAATACTTCGTATAACCAAAGAGGCGAGATAGGAGAAACAAAAAAGTGTCTGAGGTCATATTGATCAGGTGTGGCCTCTGTACTTTGACATGAATTGTTAATTAATTAACATCAAATTGACTAAAAATAAGGAAAATTTTATTCTTTAGCATGTATTTAATTAATATGTATTTTTTTATTGAAATATACAACTGTACTGGTAAAAATACAACTAATAAATTTGCTTTGGTAGCATGACATGTAGAACATAAGGAAAAACTATCGATGAAGGTACCACTCCAATTATAGTTCTATATAAGAAAATCCCGAGGCCTTCTTCTTCTCAAACGCTTAGGGGAATTACCAGTAATCGAAGAAGATACAAGTTTTCAAACAAGTAAGTTGGGATGAGCCCGAAGGTTATTAAGGAAGGATAGACATTTGGATTGTGCTAAATATGGAACATTAAGGTCACTATTGATAATTTTATTTGTGATATAGTAGGATCATCATAAAGAGAATTGAGGATTTTTTCGGATTTCGGATTGTAAGGAATAGATACGAGATGAATTTGATAGTTTAGTGGAGCCTAAAAGCTCGACTCTATTAGTCTAAATAGGCCTTATTATAATCAAGTAAATGAGTCTCGTATAGCTTAATAGGAGTTTAGAGAGTTTGTCTAGTAAGTGTTGAAGTAGCCGAAAACGTTTAGCAGTTTCTTTTCGTTTCAGTCCCGTATGAGGATAAGGCGATTTCATGGGATTTGTTGGAATTTATCTTCATCTTCCAATTTCTACATCATTCTTCAAGGTTTGTGATGTGTGACTGAAGATTTTGAAAATAAATGGGCAATAAATGGGTCATTATTATTAATGGGTCATAAAGTGTGTGTGTGTGTGTGTGTGTGTGTTGGTTTGTATGTATTTAAATACATTGTTTTTAGTATAGTATTATAAAATCGACCATGGAAAGTAGTACAGACGATTTGGACTAGGCTAATATCTTCCGTCGACATCGAATAAATGTTGTCTAGTTGGAGGAGTAATCCTCCATCCCCCTAACTTCTACTCTCTCTATAATCCTCATTAATTATCTTTATTAATCCACCCTTTACTGCGAACTTCTAATGGCTCTCACCTTAGTTTTGATTGTGAAACCATCCCAGAGTTTGAAACTTTTATACATAAATATTATTAAACTCGGACAAATTTAGTTAATATAATATATATGTATATACGATTAAAGACAAATTAAGGGAAAGAAAAACCGATTTTAATAAAATAATTCTAATGATAGGATGTGAAACCTGAATCATAACGTCATATATAATACTACTTATTTAAGTTTCTAAATAAAATTCTTTAGTATTTATTTC